GTTAGAATGGCAGAAATCCAGCCAACAGCAAATGCTGGAGAGGATGTGGGGAAAAGGGAGCCATCATTCACTATTGATGGTTTTGCCGTCTGGTCCAGCCACTATGCAAATCAGTGTGGAGAATCCTCAACAGCTAAAATAAATCTACCATGTGACCCAGCTGTGGCACCCGTAGGACTTGATGCCATTGTCCAAGGCGCTTGCTCAGCCATGTTCATTGTATTTATAATAGCTAGGAAGTGGAAACAACCTAAATGTCCTACAACTAAAAAGTAGATATTGAAAATGTGATGCCTGTATACTATGGAATACTACTTAGTGTTAAAGCAAAACGAAACTACAAACTTTTCAGGTAAATGAATGGAACTAGAAAAGGTCATTCTGAGTGATGTAGTCCAGACTAATGTCCCATGTTCTCTATTATCGGAGACTTCTAGTCCATCCCTTTAGATGTGAGCACATAGACAATCACTATGGAAACCAGGACAGTACACTGGAGCTACTATCAGGATGTGGGCGCTTGAGAGCCATAGAGAAGGGGATAGCAAGGTGTACATAATTTCATAGGGAAATGGGAGGGGGGGTCCTTACAGAGGTAAATATAGAAGAAGTGGGAAGAGGGTAAAGAAATTGCAGGAAACTGGAGATCTGATATGGGAAATGAGAAAAGGGGGATCCCTGGGGAGGGAGAGGGCGTCAAATACAGCAGAAGCAGGTAGGTAGGTGAAATAGCAATATAGATAGCTTGAACAGTCACAAGGAATCAGATTATAAACTATTTACAAAACAAAACAATACTCCCCAAAACCCTACAAGGCACAAACTTTGTAGTGTAAATATGCATATAGTTTTAAGAGATTTTTCTCATCTAGGCTAACAGCTCTCTCTCCAGTAGTAGCCACTTAAAAACCCCAACACCAGATGCGAGAAGTCCTCTTTAGAGTTGTTGGCCAGGCTCTCTAAGAGACTCCCTTAAACACACAGTCTACTGCTGTTGTGCTTGGTTGCCCCGACCCCTAACCCCCAGAGGTGGAAGGTAATTCTGGATTGCTGAAGACACCATGCACATCAGAGACATGGTTCAGAGACCTCTGAGCTGGGACTGCCCCTTCCTGAGGGCTAGTTTTCATGGTCCTTATTCATGCTGAGGTACCAGCCCTTTCACTGGATGTTGAAATTGCAAAGGAGAAATGCGATTTCAGCATTTTTCCCGAACATAGTTAAGCCTCATGCTCCTTCTTTCCCCCTGCAAGGTCTTTGTGATTGCAGTGGTTTGTGGATGTTCTAAGAACTATTTATGTGCACAGCCTGCACACTGTTTCTGCTTACTTGCTTATGTGTGGTCCTGGAGGGCTTCAAGCACTCAAGGCCTGGTCCCTACCAGTGAGCTGCATCCTAAGCCTGAATATCATGTCATGTGAACAGATTTGGGGCATGGAGCTCTGTCTGGCTTCTGTCAAATTCTTATGGCTTTGTCTCCGAAGATTTGCAGATATGTTAACAGATATCAGAGTGCTTTCATTAAGTAATGCTACTAATGAATCTCCCAAACTGCCCTTTAAAGATTTGCAATGTTAGATTTCCATTGTAGACATTACTCTTACTTGGGTTATCTCATTGTTCTGTTAGATTCAGAATTCCTGACTGCTAAATCCCTGATCATGGCCATTGTCTCCGGAAGTCACAGACCGCTGATAATTGTTACATCATTCGCAGAATGCTTCCATGTTTAGGAAATCTTGCCCAAGTAGAGATTGATTTATTGTTCTCTTCACGGTATATGCTCACATTAAGCAATAATTTTTCAGGGAACTATGTTGCTGGATGCATTAAGCCATTTTTTTGCTTTATAAGAAATCAAAAAGCTCCTTGGGCTGGTGAGATAGCTTACAAGTAAGAGTGCTTGCTATGTAAGGCTGGGGAGCTGAGTCAGATCCCTGGAACTCAGGGGGAAGGGAAAGAATCGAATCCCCAAAGTTGTCCTGGCTACTTCCATGTGTTTGAGGTAACATTTATGTATCTTACATTCGTAACACAGACACACAGAAACATGCATGCTCGCGTACAGACGCACACAGACGTGCACAAACGTCACCATCACCCTCTTCCTTCAGGCACTTGCAGTTCTGTGATTGGCCACTGGATGTCAGCAGTGCTACAGAAGCGTTGAGTGTAGCCAGGGGAGAATTGAACATTTTGAGCACGTAGGCCTTCATGTACTTCACTGTTTCCACGTGATCAATGCCAGGAAAACCTGATCCAGTGTGATATATAGAAGCAAGGTACAACTGGAATAGTTAAATTTCAAAAATAAGCCTTTTTAAAGGAGAGCTGTAATGGTCCTGTTGGGTATTGTAAATGCCTCAGGTGCATTTGATACTGCTGTTATGTTCCTGGCATCCAGGTCTTTCTCTTTTTTTATGGAAAGATGGATTGAACTTCAATTTAAGAATATCCAGTAATCCCTCTCAGGACATACTGTAACAGCTGGTATTTTTGTGTTGTAGTAAATCGGTTCCATACAACAGTCAGCAATAATTATGGCTGCTTTCTGACGAATTCCAAAGCATTTTCAATCAGTTTAGCCAAGGAAAATAACATTATTACACAAAAATATAACCCAATTTGAAAGTTAATCCAGCAATACTACTTCATTCCACAAAATGCTGAGCATTTCCTAGTTAGGATTCTATCGAACTGTTTTAAAAAATTCGTACACTTGCACTGTTCTAGGTGGATAATTATGTTGTATAATATAGCCTTAGGAGATTATTACTTTTGGATAAACACACAGCCTGAGACAAATTTAACCTTGACACTTCATCATGAAAAGAATGAGAAATCCTAATTCCTTTCATGTGTGGTAACACTGGCTTAAAAATTGTTTTGAAGTGGGATATCAGGTTTTTGTCAATATTCCTGCAATGAGGACTGTCCCACATTCTATTAAATTTTACCTTTTTTTTTGGTGAAAGTATAAATTGGTTATGTGACATGTGTAGTTCATAAATGTGAAACACTGTGAGTTCTTTAAGTGGTGAAAAATGGGATTAGCATGGAGTATATGTGTTTCTGTGTTTATGGTGGCTGTGTCATGCAAATTCTGACTTCTCGTGGCCTAAAGAGCTAAGTTATATGTACACAGACACATAAAAAGCACCATATCTGCTTACGTCATAAAGAGGTATTACCCAGATGGTAGACGTATGTGTGAATACACTGTATACATTTTCAATGGTTTTCTTTCATTCCTGTTAGAAAAATAAAAGTCTGTTAACAATGTATTCTTTAGATTATCGGTGGGCTTTCTGGAGTTCTATTTGCTTTGAATTACTTCATCTGTCCCCTTGCTTTATATAAGGAATATTTTTATGGAGTTAAATCTTAATCCTGATTAGAATAATTTATGAGACCAAAGCAAAGTTTCCTTGTAAGATTTTTGGAGAAAGGGTAGTGTCTAAGCTGGGCACAAGTGAGGCCTGGCTTGCCTTCTCCTTTTCATTTTTAATTTTTAGCTCAGTGAGTTATATTTTTGCTTGGAATTTAAATAATTGCCAACCTATTTTTAATTAGCGCTTTTCTCTGTGTGAGTGTGTAGTATGAGTGCATTGGTTCGCCTTTGTGATAATGGAAAGCAGATGGGCAGACATCACAGCAGGTAGTCAAGTCCAAGAAAGTCTATTTGATGGTGTTTTTTTTTTTTAAATATCAGTTTTCACTTTGACAATTAAAATGCTAATTTAGAAGGCTTTACTGGAATTTTACAGCTGTATTTTTCTCAAGTGAAAGCTGGCAAGCTCGTTTGTCGTTATTCTGTAATATGAATCAGCAATTTAGAGTCTTCAGGAATTGAAGTGAATCGTTTTCCAGTGTTTACAGTGTCTGTTTTTCTTGTTGTCTTTAATATATGTTAAAATATGCTTTTAAGTGACTGAGTTTGCTGTATGGCAAATTGGGGGAAAATGTACTAAAATGCTTTGTATAGTTATGATTTCAGCAAAAAAATGTAAATGATGTGTATTTTCCATTGTTAGTCTGCAACGATCCAAATTCGAAACACATGGCAGGCTCGTTCTTAGGCGCTAGGCTGGGTGAATTGTAATCTCCCTGCTTTCTTTTATGTTTTAACTTTATAATTGTATTGCCTGAATTAAAGAAATAAACTACCACACAGCCAGCTTTTATTGTTTGTTTACTCTGTGGAAGGCGTTGCTGCAGGTCTTGACACATTTAATTATCACGCAGTTCTGAGTTATCCTCACTTGCATATAAGGAAATTAAGGCTTAATAAGATTCAGTAAGTTACAGAAGATCACAGAGCCAGCAGGATTAGAGGCAAAGCCAGAGCTGACCTTGCACAACTTTTACACGATATCTCCTTCCCTCTTATCGTGAGATAACCTTAGGCTAGTCATCGAAAACTGTGTGTTTTCCAAGGTGTAACCAAGCTTAATTTCTACTAAAAGAAGGTTTCGCTTGGATTGCTAACACTTCTGTGAGTTGTATCAACGCCCTGCTTCTAGCTGAGTAATTTTGTCAACGATATTCTCTGCCTGTGGTAGAGAACTTTGCAGCTGTTGTACTGGGATGAACTCTATGGAAGCTAGAGCGTTGTACCTTGCTGGTGACTCTGATAGCCTCTGTTAGACAGTGGGAAATATAGCTAGGATTAGGGTAAGGTAAGAGAGGGAGAAAATGGCCACAGAGACTCCTCTGAGAGGTCGGAGTGCATCTGATCAGCAGCCCCTAGCAAATGTAATGATCTTTTAGAAGCCTTGACACATGCAGGGACAGTATGTTTTCAGTTAGAAATGATGTCAGAATCAGAAACTCTCCTGTTAAATATCAGCCTGTCACTGCAGAAAATGAATTCTATAGAAGAATTATGATTGCTCTGACATAGTGTTAAATACAAATTTTAAATTAGTTGTAGGGTGTTTGATTTAGTGATACTTGCTTTTTTATATACATATAAATGTTTAAATGTTTCTTTTCTTCCTAGGAAGAACTTGTAGGACAACTCTTGGGTGAAGCACGGCTGGAGTCCATTAAATTCCCTGGAGCTTCCTGAGACAAGAGAGTGGAGGGCAGCCACATACCCACAGCCTGCATCATGCCAGCACTGGCCACAGGATCAGCTTGTGACACAGGTACAAGAAGCCAAGGGAATGATTTTCTCTATATTCTTACATCAGTATTATTCCCAGTGACTGTGACATTGTGGGTACAAATATACCACATACATCTTTCTGTGACCAACATAAAACCAGTCCCAATAAGCTCTGAACTAGACAGAAGTGACTGTGGGTACTCAGACTGCTTCCTGCTCCGGGTGGCCGTGGTGACACATGCCTGTGTCCTGCCTTTGGAACAGCATTGTGCATTTAATTGTTTAAAACGAAGTATTTGAGAGCACCCAGTGTTCTGGCAAATACTATCATATCTGCGCACTGCCGTCACTCTCTTATAACAGCAGATGTGACCATTTTACGTACTTGCTTCAAACCTCTTGCTTTCTATTCTATTTATCTGTTTTTATTCTCTTTTTCAGTCACCAGATTTTAAAAAAAATCCAGAATTCCCTACACATCATTAAGAGTTTATACTGGGAAGAGGGGTAGTGAGTGGGATATAAAGTGAATAAATAAATAATAATAAAATGAAGTTATATTAAAACTAAACAGTGGGCTGTTGGTATGGCTCAATGGGTAAAGGAACTTGTTGCCAATGCAGACATCCTGAGTACAGTCCCTGGGACCTACATGGTGGAAGGAGATCCACTTGTGAAAGTTGCCCTTGGACTTCCACGTTCTCACCGTACACATCCAGTTACCCTCACTCATGATAAATAAGGAAACGTTAGCAGTAACACCTGCACACTAAACACATCTCATTAGCTGTAATATTTAAAGGCCAATAGAATAAATACATATTTCTTAAAACACACATAATACATATAAAATCTCCTTTCTGACCTAATTTAGCACGTATTTGGTGTCCTTGCAATCAGTGCTGTTTAAGTATAGATCCCGGATGCTTTTCCGAACTGTTCAGAATAAGGGAGAGCGACTAGGCTGAAATCCAGTAGAGTGTATGTTTCATGAGTGTGAAGCACTGGATTTAAACCTCAGTACAAAAGAGAAAAAAGGAATGAATGGGGTTAGGAAATTGGCTTTCCTTTTATTTGTTTGGATTAGTTGAGGCAGGGTTTTGCTCCTTGTATTAGCCTTCCAGCTCACAGTTTTCCTGCCTCAGGCTCATGAGCACACAAATCTTATGAGTGCCACTATGCTCAGGCCACGCTGTGAGGTTTTAAGACTCCTCAAAAGAAGTGGCAGCATAATATCAATGAAAGGAGTGTCCGGTGTGTGGGGCTGCAAAGGGATGGTTTGGTCTCCCCAGTAGACCACTGGGTTTGAGATAGCCAGAGACCCAACAGGTCTCCTGTTGGCCTGTGAGGGACGGCACATATCTCCCCACGCTCCCGGATTCCAGACTCCTCCCACATGTGGCCTACACCACCATTAACCTGCACCTTGCAGACACGTTTGGCTCAAAGTAGGTTCTCCCAGAGAGGTTTTGCATCATCATCTACAGCTACAGGTAGAGGGCGTGATTAACAGGCTTCAGCCCCGAGAGATTTCCATATTCATGAGTTATCTAAAAGGCCAGGGGCGTAGCTAATTAAGTCATTCCTTTTCCCAGCCCCTCTTTCCCCTCCCCTATTTAAGCCAGCTCCCCCTGGCTTTTACAGTCTCCCCCCCACCCCCAGCACATCCAGACTCCACTACCACATCCAGACTCAACTGCCACGCCATGAACAATAAACTTTCAAACCCATGGACTCCACGTGTCTTCTGGGGCCTCTGGAACCTTAGACTTTCTCATGTATGTGAGACCGGTCGGTGTGGAAAGCTCCCGGGACTCCGCGGGTCACTGTTGCGCGGGCCCGGGGCACCCTTGCGCGCTTCCCTCCACCCCCACCAGTGTGTCACAAAGGCCATGGCATCCCTGATCTCAGGGACCACATGAGATACCGAGCGAGGCATCTGACTCCTCGCCCCCACCCCGCCTCCCAGCTGTTCTGGTCATGGCATCACATTCTGGTAGACTTCTGTGTTTGCAGTTTAAGCACGCTTAGTGCATATGTATACCCTCTGCAAGTGCAGCCCGCTTCCTCTCCTCTCCGTTATCAGCAGATTTCCCCTCCTGGAGATGTGGACTAGAGATTATTTTTTGTTGTGAGGCAATTTTAGCTTTTTGTTAAATCCCATTAAACTTTAGTTTTTTCCCCCCTCAGGATGTTAATTTGGAAGTCAACTCCTTTGGATTTTTTTTAATGTAGTTTTGTGTTTTGTTGTACTATGCAGAATGAATAATTGAGCTTCCTGTGGTGACATGATAATTATAGATAAAAAAATTTTCTAGATGTGAATGTACTGAGTTGTATAGTAAATTTTATACTTCCCTGTTCACCAGAATGGTGTTAGCTTAATTGATAGCAAAGTATTGCTAATGACATACACCTGAAAGGCTGAATGAAATATATGTTTGCAATTCAGAGCTGTTGGTCACGGATGGATGGTATGGAATTTACCAAGAGCTTTCCCATACAGCCATGTCACTTAGAACAGAGGGTTACTGACTTGTGACACCTGCTTTCTGGTGTTTTCTAGCCTGTGTGCTAGAAGGTTTGAGTCAGGCATGGAAGACATGCCTGTTCCTGGATCACAGTGTGGTGTTTGCATCCGGTGTTTAGAGTTCATGTTTAGAACCCTATACAGGTACAGTTGATGCTCTTTTTACTACTGTTGAAAATGTTGCCTAGCAACACTGTTGATGTTGTGTTGCTGTTGAGACTCCAAGAGAAGTTACAATGACACTGATGATCATAGAAGGCTCCTGACTTTAGACATGCGTGTTGTAGTCATTTGGGAAAACACTGTGTGATGTGTGGAATGGGTGTGTACCCTTATGGAGGTGTGGAGGCCAGACAGACTTGAGTGTCCTGGTCTATCACTCTGTGCCCTTTGAAGCAGGGTCTCTCACCAGGCATGGAGCCAGGCTGTTGGGCAGCCAGCAAACAAGCCTTATTCATCCTCTTGTCTCTCCACCCCCAACACCACTCACTCACATGCTTGTGTGCACATACACGTAGATTCACAACAGTCACATATCTAGCTTTTTATGTTGGTGCTACAGGTTCAAACTTGGATTTTCTTTTTTTTGTTTTAGGTTTTTCGAGACAGGGTTTCTCTGTGTCTCCCTGGCTGCCCTGGAACTCAGTTGACCAGGCTGGCCTCAAACTCAGAAATCTGCCTGCCTCTGCCTCCCAAGTGCGGGGATTAAAGGCATACGCCACCACTGCCCGGCCAAACTTGGATTTTCATGCTTACACAGAAAGCACATTTATCATCTGTTCTGTTTCCCCAGTCCCGGAAATACTTTTTTTTTTCTTTTTAAAATTTTTTAAAAATTACTTTTATTTATTTATTTATTTATTTGTTTGTTTATTTTACAATCCAATCATTGTCCCCCCTCCCAGTCTGCTCCCCCACCAAAGTTCCTCGTCCTATTTCCCCTGCCCCCATCCCCGAGAGGAATTCTCCCCTCCCCCAGGCCTCCTCACTCTCTGGGGCCTAAAGCCTCTCAAGGCTAGACCAGGCAGTCCTCTGCTGTATATGTGTCGGGGGCCTCGGACCAGCTCGTGTATACTGCCAGGTTGGTGGCTCAGTGTTTGAGAGATATCAGGGGTCTGGGTTAGTTAATACTGCTGGTCTTCCTATGGGGCTTCCCTCCTCAGCTTCTTCCAGCCTTTTCCTAATTCAACCACGGGGTCCCCGACTCCAGTCCAGTGGTTGGGTATAAGTATCTGTCTCAGTCAGCTGCTTGCTGGGCCTCTCTGAGGACAGCCATGCGAGGCTCCTGTCTGTAAGCACACCATAGCATCAGTAATAGTGTCAGGCCTTGGAGGCTCCTCTTGAGATGGATCTCAAGTTAGGCTGCTCACTGGACAGCCTTTCCCTCAGTCTCTTCTCCGTTTTTCTCCCTGCAATTCTTTTAGACAGGAACAGTCGTGGGCCAGAATTTTTGACTGTGGGATGGCACCCCCATCCCTCCACTGTATGCCGTCGTCATCTTTCTACTGGAGGTGGAATCTACACGTTCCTTCTCCTCATTGTTGGGCATTTCATCTAAGGTTCATCTAGTTATCTCACTCAGAATGATACTTTCATCCTCCCTTTGAGTCCTGAGAGTCTCTCACCTCTCAGGTCTCTGGTACTTTCTAGAGGGTCCACCATTTCCCATTCCCCCCAGGTTACATATTTTCATTCATTCTGCTGGCTTGTGGGGCTTCTCTCCTACCTCCCCATACTTGATCCTGTTCCCCTTTCCTCTCACCTCTCCCACCCAGGTCCCTCCTTCCTTCTGCCTCCCATGATTGTTTTCTTCTCCGTACTAAGTGGGATTGAAGCTTCCTCACTTGGGCCCTTCTGCTTGTTAACCTTCTTGAGTTCTGTAGACTGTATTCTAGGTATTCTGTACTTTTTTTTTTTTGGTTAATATCCACTTTTCTTTGGCTTAATATCACTTAGTGAGTACATATCATGCATGTCCTTTTGGGTCTGAGTTATCTCACCCAGAATATTTTCTAGTTCTATCCATTTGCCTGAAAATCCCAGGATGTCCTCTTTCTTAATGGCTGAATAGTATTCCATTGTGTAAATGAACCATAGTTTCTGTATCCATTCTTCCATTGTGGGACATCTGAGTTGTTTCCACCTTCTGGCTTTAAAAGATAAGGCTGTTAGGAACATAGTGGAGCTCATGTCCCTGTGGCATGGTGGGACATCTTTTGGGTATATGCCCACAAGTGGTATAGCTGGATCTTCAGGTAGATCTATTTCCAATTTTCTGAGGAACCTCCAAATTGATTTCCAGAGTGGTTGAACAAGTTTGCAATCCCACCAGCAGTGGAGGAGTGCTCCTCTTTTTTCACAACCTTGCCAACATGTGCTGTCACCTGAGTTTTTGATCTGTGCCATTCTGGTTGGTATACAGTGAAATCTCAGGGTCGTTTTGATTTGTATTTCCCTGATGAGTAAGGACTTTGAACATTTCTATAAGTGCTTCTCAGCCCTTGAGATTC